TACGTAAAAAAAATCTTTACGTAATTAGAGCTAACTTAACTTAGAGTTGTTAACAAGATCAAAAGTAGCAAGGTCAAGACCAAGGCTAAAAGTTACAAGGCCAAGGACAAGGCTAAGGCCAATTATAAGAGTTTCAAGGCCAAGGCCAACGCAAAGATTTTTAAGACCTAAGACTTAAAATTTTGCCTTATGTTAAAGCCAAATATTAACAATTGTAGTTAGCAAGTGCTGTGAAAATAAAACCACATGCTGTGAAATTAGACCAAGGTTACGTGCAGAATTCAAAGTCAATAAAAAAATATATTTGTAGTTATATATGAAAGCCGAAAACAAAAATACATAAAAATAAAGAATAAAAACTTTAAATTCTTTAATTTTATGAATATTTTTTTGAAGGCCAATGCCAAAACAATCAAGTCCAAGACTAAAATTTTCAAGACCAAGGCCAAGGTCAAAAGTTTTAAAGCTAAGGCCTTAAATTTTGGCTTTAAGGCAAGGTTGAGGCCAAGGCCAATTCCAAGGACTAACAACTCTGACTCAACCCAATCCCAACCCCTAACTGATCCTTCCCTAGAATTAAGTCTCCTAAAATCAAATATTTTAATTTAATTTCTGTTATAAATTAGATCAAAATTTATCGACAGATTTCAAATTTTATCAAAAAATCCTCTTTCGTTTAAGATTTATGACCATAAGAAATTTAAAATTCTGAAATTTAAAATTCTTGTTCAAAAGCTACGACCTTTCAAAGTTATTTCAAGGGGTAACCCTTGAAATAACTTTGAAAGGTTGTAGCTTTTGAACAAGCCTTTTTTTATAAAATTTTACATTTGTCGATGAATTTGATTTAGTTTAGTACAACACAAATTAAGATTTTCAAAAATTTCATTTAGGAAGTATACCTTAGAGGAGTGGGAGGGGTGGAGGTGGTTAGTGATGGGACGATCTTCTTTAACATCACAAAATTGCATAAAAAAAATTATGCCCGCGAGAATGTATTTTGTGTTTCAAAAGTGAAATTGCAAACTGAACTATTGACTTTATTAAGTACTTAATACTGTTGTTATTTCAATTGTTACTATTATTAGAATTCAGTTATTACAGTTACTATTTCAAATATTAACAATAGCTACGGCTAGCTTTCGTTATAGTACGCATTAAATAATAACTATTTACACACGTTGACGTATAAACTGAAAGCATGCTTATGCTCATTATATTTAAATTTCATTAATGGGGTTGATGTATCATGCCAATATAATAAATGCATATCAGAAGTTTTTAATTGAAGCATTTATTTAAAATCCCTAATCATGCAAAAGAATTCGGAAAGTATTGAAGATCTATAATAATGATAAAAGAACTTATATAAATCTAATTAAAAAGAAAAAAACTCAAACCTTATCAAAACTACATTTTGAAAAATTATTTAGTTAATAACTCAGACCTTCCTACCATACGTTAGTCAAAATGTTAAAAAAAAGCTTGCTAGGACTGACCCATATTTTACTATACGACCGATTGAAGGTAAATTATACATATTTATAAATAATGTACTTAAGTTAAAATTTAGTTATTATGATAATTACAGTTACTAGACATACGCTATGAAATTTAGACCTGAATACCAGAGTTATCAGAGGTAGAAAATGTGAATGTTTTTTATGTGAAAACGGGTGCAAATCAAAATTGGAAAAAATATTGGCTCCTATGAATAAACACGTTTTAGAAAAACCTGTTTAAAAAGGCGCCAAAGGCGTTTGAAATAAACACGCAAAACGAATTATTTTTCCAGATTTCTATGTTCAAGTGTGAGAAGGTATTCCCTGTACGAAGTTAGAAAAACAAAAAAATTTGACGGCCATTATAACATTAACATCCCCTACAACGCAAGGAAAAATTCTGTCCAGTTCTATCAAAGATTTGGGCACAAATAAATCAGGGAACACTTTAGCTTTAAAAACGTTTAGTCCCAAGCAACCTTCCAGTAAGCACAGATTGTTTTTAAAACGTTTAAAAAACGTTAAAATCCGTTTTAATAAGTTTTTTAAACGTTTTAAAAACGTCCTGTGCTTACTGGGTTGTCTCTGTTGGAAAGTTGTCTCTGTTGGAAAGATTGAGGTTAAAAAACTTTTTTTTTCTTTGGATTAATTGAACAAATTTTAACTTAAACTACAAACCAGGTAAGGTTTTGATGCTTAAATTTTTTTTTAATAATTTACTTGAGAGTTCAAAGCCAATTATTTAAATAAATTTGTCATGACTTCTAAGTAATTGCAATGTGATTGAAGTTGCAAACTTTCTAATAAGTGAAGGAGAAAAAAAAAGTTTCTACATTAACCTGACTATGAACAACTAGCTGATCAAAAAATTATTTAAGTAATAAATTTTTTTTTAAGAAATTTAAGTAATAAATTTCCATTTTTATTAGGAGCAAATGAAAACAAAGAGGTAATTAATTTTTTACCTACATTTTTTATGATAACTGAATGCAAACTTTATCATTCATTTTGATTTTTTATGCATGTATAGTTGGTAGAAAAAGGTATTGCAAATGACTTTGAAGAGCTTGTAGCAATGATGCTTTATCGCAGACATCAAGAAACAAATGATGCTGATATCAAATTAGGTGTAGATGTAGGACAAAAATTCCTTAATGTTACTCTATCAACCACTTTAAAACCATAGTTAGAAAATAATAAAATCCCAAATAAATTCAGAAAATTTAAAAAGAGATTGAAAGAAATATTTTTGAAAGCAAGTAGAGTGAGTTACAGTTTGTCAACCGATGTCGATGTAAACATCTTGATGTCTTCCATAAACATCTGCAGATTATTCTAACAAAAACAGCATTGTTTGGAAGGCAACCCTTGCAATAAATTGCTCAAAAACATAGACAGCTTTGAGCTGTTATTTCAGTAGTCCTGTCTTGGAGGTCCCTCCGCTTAATGCATTAAGGTACTTGTTGATTTAAAAAAATAGTCCATGGCTGTTTTGAAAAATCATTATATTCTACTTATGTCAAAGATATATAGCAGTTCTCTACGAGCTATAAAAATCTAGGGGATACAATTTCTATAAGGGTACACATAGTTGAGCAATATATTATCGAATTCATGGACATGAAAGGTGAAGTCTTTGGTTTGATAAATAAATTTTAAGATTTAAATAAAAGATTATAATAATATAAATTAATTACAATAATAGTAATTGAATTCAATATTACAACAGGTTATGCAAGTTAAAACTTGCATAAATTACGACGGTTATTCATTAAACAGACTAGAGTTTATTTTGTAAAGTTTATATTCTGTAGGTTTAGGTTAACGGGCCGAACAAACTCCCAAATCCATTCACCAGGATTTCAGTCAGTTTTGACAAATGAGAAAAGTTAGAGAGCACAGTCCAAACTATATTGAAGCGCTGAAAAACGTAGTTTTTTAGCGCTTATAACAGTTGCTTATAACTACAAACATTTTTAAAGTAATTTTTAATTTGTAGCTAGCTCGTTAAAAATTAAATATTAACCTCCGATGAACAATTGTTTAGCATAATTTTTTGATATATGATATGATGATATATAACATGCAAATTATTAATAATAATCTAACCACATTGACTAGAAAATTTTTTTTACGGCAATAAAATAATTGTAGCTGACCCTATTGGACCCCTAATAGCTCACCCCTAGTGTATGGCTCTCTTAGGAATGGAATTTTTCAAAATTTTTATTGTTTTGTATTAAACTAGATCAAAATTCATCTGATGTGAAATTTTATCAAAAAATTTCTCGTTTAAAATTTACAACCATTCAAAGTTATTTCAGGGGGTAAACTATGGAATTTTAAACTGGTTATATACTTTAAACAAAAGAAGAATTTTTAATAAAATTTAAATTCTGTAGATAAAATTAAAAAAAAAAATTTTATGATCTTAGGAGACTTAGTTCTAGGAAAGAGACAATTAGGGGTTGAAAAGGGGTTAGGTTAGCTCCAATTCCATAAACATTTTGCAAGTCACCCTCATTTGATACCAACATCAACATACTAGAAATTTATGTATCCTACATGGCTCTTTGTTATCTATCTTGAACAACAAAATTACTGAGCACTCGCCTATATAAAATACGTGATTTCTCCCCTGGCCCCCGATAAAAAAAGTTGCTTTTTATATTTTTAGAATAAGAAAGAGTCTTCCGATGATAAACAAACAAAAAAAATATTTCTGGGGATGTAATGCAAGTTCTTAGAGCTTGGTCCTATGCACCGTGTACTGCTACTTTTAAAACTAGGCTTCGGAATTAAATACTACATTGAACCTTTTTTTTATTATATGTTATAATTTAAAATAAAAAACTTTATTTATTGAAAAAAAAAAATCTATGAAAAAATATGTTTCCTATAAAAAGTAGATTAAACTTTCTTATCAACTTAAACTTCACCTACATTATTTCACGTTTAATTTGTTATATATTATATTAGGTTGAAGAAAAGTTTGTCATTGAAAAAGTTGTTAAGTCTATGACTGTAATATTTTCAACTTGACTCCATTATAATGGGTTTTGGTCTTAATAAAAACTAACTTTTGGCATTTAATTAAGACTAATTAAATATTAACTTTTACTACTATTTAACCCAATGTTTTATTTTGGAAAAAATTTTGCAAAAACTGACCGAAGGTTTGGTGATTAGATTTTTACATTTGAACATAAATTAATAAATCTGAAATGAATTAAATTCTGCTATACCAGAAACCTTTGTTGTCTTCTTTAATCTACTTCAGTAACATTTGGTTTGATTAAATAATTAATTGCTTTATATCTAAGGTTTAAAGAGTATATTAAAACCTTTAAGTTTTGTTTTGTGAATGCTTTTCCCATAAACTAGCGTATAAAAGATTGTTATGAACATGGTATAAATATAAGATGATTAATTAAATGCAAAAATTATCTTTTATATTCAATTAAATCAAATAACATGCGCAAAACTTTAATTTTTTAGGTACTTCCGACGAAATTCAATGCGGAGATGATTGTATTCCTTCGTTGAATTACCGCTGCTGTGATGGAAAACCAAGAAGAAACGATGAATACGGAGAATGTGGAAAAACATGTTATCGCTTTGCAGAAGAAATATGTTGCAATGGTGTTCCTCTTCCATCAGACGAATGGAAGATTTGTGGTGGAGTTTGTCTGAAAACCAAATATTGTTGATGTTGCTAAGTAAACGTTGATATTGCTAAGTAAACGTTGATGATGTTATGCAGACAATTTGTTAATTTCTGTTATTGAACTTTGATTAAGTTGAATAAAATTTATTTGAATATTAACAATCAATGTCGTTTATAAGTATCAATTGTTAATTTAAATAATAACAATCAATGTCGTTCATAAGTATCAATTATTTATTTGAATATTACCAATCAATGTCATTCATAATTATCAATTTTTGAGTTAAGATGTGACAGGAGCAGGCAGAAGAAAAAATTCTTATCATCCAGCACCGTTGTATCATTTGCATATTAAGCAAAAAATAATCCATCATATAAAGAAAGAAAAAAGAAAATACAATCTCAGTAAAATAATATTTAATACTTTCAAATAATTTTTTTTTTCCGTGTACAATACAATTTAAAATAAAAAAATAAATATAAAGATAAATGAAAACAAAATAAAAAATAAAACTCTTAAGCTAAGGGTTAACTCTATTCCCTCTCAAACACGGCTACCATGAATGGCTGGATCATTTCCATATCTTATTTTAATATAAATTCGTCGTTTAATTATAATTTTGATAAAATATAATTTTAGATAAAAAGAAATCAAAAATTAAAAAAAAAAAAAATGTTGACGTACGGGACCCATACGGGCCGTCAACTAGGTTCCGTATGGGAAGACCAACGATATCCCGCCGGATCATGGCCGCGGTTTCCATATGGGTCCCATATGGTTGAGCCCGCTGGATATTCCATATGGGCCCCAGTCAAATCCCTACTTTAAAACCGTAAGTGGCTTATTTGGGTTTACGAATAGGACCTATATGGGAAACCCATCGGGAACCCACCGAATCTTGGTCGCGGTTTTCCTCAGGGGCCCATACGGGTATGCCCGCCGGATATTCCCTGAGGGTCCCACGAGGTTTACTGATTGCAAATCTTGCTAAACTACGTTTAAACGTTTAAAATTAACAGAAAAAGCAAATTTATATATAACTTGATTGATTGATTTCAAAAAAATAGTAATTAAAATTACACTGCCGAAATTAAGTAAACTTTTAAACAATTCTTTTTAATCATGTATCGAATGCTTTCACGGTTATTTAGGGAATCGGAAGCTTTTCTATTGTTGTTAAAACGACAGGGCACGACAAATCGTTTTTATTTCACGGACGTTGACGTTCGTATTTTAAATTATTGACGAACGTCTAATTTAAGTGATACGTGTCAAATAAGGGAGTTTTATATTTAAATAAATTTTTATTCTAGTTAATAAGCTTTTGGATATATGGAAGATGGTTATCGAATTTAATCAATTGTCATATTTTCGAAACAATTTTTCACGCATTTGCAAAGTGCGCGCAAATTATTGATTTTTAATATGCAATGATTGTATACTGTTATTCAACGATGCAAAACTTTTTTTTTTTAATTTAGTTTGTTAAATTTATTTACTCATAAAATATACGTATAAACGTAAAGAAATTAAAATAAAAGGAACAAAAAGAAATAAATTGAAAAATTACGTCTCATTTATAAATATATATTAATTTTTATATTTATATGAATGGATTTAAAAATCGCTAGAACTTTTTAATTTATGGCCTTCCAAATATCTAATACCAACCACTGCGTCAATCCAATTTTTGACATGTTTTTGGGGTAAAAAGTTTTCAATTAACTGGCCATCAAGCTTTATACGCATAATATCGTCTAAGGTATTGTCATTTAATGAAGTTCGCAAAAAAAATTTTGTAAGTTAATACAAGAAAAACTGCGTTCGCAACTTGCCGTTGAAGCGCTGAAAGTTAGCATAATCTCTAACAAGACATTTATACTTGCCAATTCAGGTTCATTTTCCAGCAAGCTATCTTTATAAATGCTTTAAAGTGACTTTGTCCTTAGTTTAGAGACTTTCTCCCTGAATAAAGGCCACTGCAATACATATAAATTAGAAGTTTCTCTGCCTATCATATTATTGTTCTCATAAAAGTTGCGAACACTTTTTATTTCATTAAATCCCCATTTTTTTATCTCAAGCGAACCGTAAAGGATTTTGGCCAGTTTTGACAATCAAAGATTGTGGTTAAAGATTTTAATGGTTCTTAATTAAAATCGCGGCAGAATCGCTTGTCTATATATTTTTTTGCTCCGTCAATGATTTTAATAAAATATATTTTATTATAATAATCAAAATAATCATTTTGTTGTTGTCTAACTAACTCATCAGTTCTCTTTAAATTACCTTTTTTTAATGCTGTTAAATCAATACCTTTGTAGATTAACTGATCTTCTTTTACTTTTAAATTATCTAGTAAACGTCCAATATTCGAGCCTGGATTAACTTTTTTTTATATATATATTTTTTTTACATGTTTATTTTACAACTACAAAGTATTTACAAGTAACTAATCACAGATTGGCGGTAAAGATATAAAACATAAATATCATAAACATAAAGTACGAAATATACGAAGTAAGCAAAACTATAGTTGCATACAACTCCGAGGCACGATTAAAATAAACACTAATTACAACAATGTAATAACGTGCACGTACAAATAATCCGATAAATATATCTCTATATTATTCCAGTTAAGATAAAATAATACAATTAAAAATAAATTAGCTGATTTTTCGTAGAAGTGTTTAGATGTTTGACTATAAATTTTTTACCACATTTCAAACTAATGTTTGTGTATAAATATAATAAAAGCGAAACTTGTGTAAGATAGATAAGAAGAATTACTTGTTAGTAGTTATAGGAAGCTCGCAGAAGACTTAAGTCAGTCTTGTCATCGAGTACCTTTTTCTGAACATGTAATACACAAAAAAATCAGTTGTATACGTGGTATATATGTATGTTGTACATAGATACCTTGTTTGTAATATTATAATTTTTTTTATCGATTTGTCTTAAAAGTTAAACTACATTTTTTTAAATTTTTTATTAAGTTGTTTAATTTGATTATTGTAGATTTTAGCTTTATTTTCAGAGAGTGTTCGTTGTTTAGGTTTAATAGTGATTCGCTTCTGGAAACTAATTTGTTAAATAAATAGGGACCACGATATGTAATTGAGAATTTTGAGAGTCTTGTTGTTTCAAACGGTATCTTAAAGTTGCCTGTTGCTCTTGTATTGTATTTATTTATATTGTTTTTAAAAAAGTGTGCTGTAAAATGCTCTGGAACCAGATTTAATTTATATTTAAACATGAAAAGTATATTTTGAAAAATATTTATTTGAAATATATTTAGTGCGTTCATCTGTTCCAATAAGGGTTGAGCATGAGCGAATTTATTTTTGTATACTAGTCTTGAAGCGTGTTTTTGACGTAGGTAAAGTGGTTCTAATTTAGATTTGTGGGTACTGCCCCATGCTATATTGGCATACATCAGGTAGCTATGTATGAATGAAAAGTAGACAAGTTTTAGACTTTTTTGTGACAAAAAAACTGATAACGCGTCTTTAAAAAAAAACAATTGTAATTTAATTTAATATTTTGCGCAATATTATTAAAGCTAAAAAAATAATTTCAAAAAAAATGAATATGCACTTATAACTTTGCAAGCGCACACTTATAACTTTGCAACCGTGCACTTATAACTTTGCAAACATGCACTTATAACTTTGCAAACATGCACTTACAACTTTGCAAAACCCTGTAAAAAGTGAAGCCGACGTCCGCCATCTTGCAGTACAGCAAAAAACTTGAATTTTGAAAGAGCAACATAGGGATATAAGCTTCATATTAACTGAACCTAAGTTTTTAGAAAGGTTTTAACAATTTAATTTCTAAGAACCATTATTACTTGTTGAAAAATTCCAGAGATATGATTGCAGAGAAATTTCGCAGCTTTAATAATGGATTCTATGCATATTAAAGCACATACAATCTATAATAAACAATCTGGCAAATTTATTGGGTTTGTAGATTATGGAGGAATGTGTGAAATCTGACTATAATATCGCAACTGAAGCGCTTGTATTTTTGCTTGTAAATGCTCTTGCTGGTATTGGTGTGTTTTATGATAATAATGGTCATATCATTAAATGGGAACACATTGTACTCTTGTGTCAACTGCAAAAAACAGAAGGATTGACACTTAGCAACAAACTTGGCAACAGACATATACACTTCCAACAACATAAAATGAATTTGATAGTTGCCAGTCAAACATTGAGGTTATCAGTAGCAGATGCAATAGAATTTTTGATGAAGTGTAATGTGAAAGGGTTTGAGGATGCAAAAGGTACTGTGAATTTTATACGTATTTTTGATCGTTTATTTGACATTATGAACTCTAAAAATGCATTTGCAAAAAATTTTTAGCAACCCATTAAACTTAGCAATACTAGATACTGGATGCGAGCATTTAGTAGCAGCATTGCATATCTGCTGTCTTACGTACAGATAACAGCAAAAATGGACCTTTATTGGCTTTACATCGTTGTAAAACATGTGTTATTGGACTTGTCACAAATGTGTTAAGTATACAGAGCTTAGCTCTTGATCTATTTAACTGTTCCTTTGAACCATTAAAGTATTTATTAACTTATAAATTATCACAGGACCATCTTGAGCTAACTTTTGCTTGCATACGTGGAAAAAACGGATTTAATAATAATCCAGATGTTGTGCAATTTAAATCTTCAATAAGACGGTTACTGATACACAATAGTATTGCTCTGAGCAAAAATGCAAACTGTTCAATTTAAGATTGTATATCTGACCTCCAACTTTTCAATCTGAAATGGTCACGTCGAAGAACACCACTACAAGATGTACAAGCTATCGAGTTCAATGAGCAGCCATTTCTTTAATCACTGTTTTTTAAACTAGACGAGGAAAACATAAGCATGTTTCAACAAGCTGTATTATGCTCCATTGCAGGGTCTATTGTTCGTGATTTGTTACACAGTGTTGAGTCCACAATTTGTGCCTAAGCATTAACAACAACTGGAATTATGTCTTCAGTCAATGACCATCTTAGCTATGGTAATACACTACCAATAGGACACATACACAGTTTTATTGTGCTTAAAATTAAAGGAGGGTTGATTTTTCCATCCTCAGGTGTTGTCAAAGTTGTTGAAACTTGTGAAAAAGCTTT